CTATCTTTGCTCATTCAGTGGACAGATGAGTGTGTTACTAACTACATCCCAGTGAATTCTGTTTGTATCAGCCTGTTGAGAAGGTGCTGTACAAGGCTTAGGATTTATTTATCCTTTCTAGTTCTACTACATTTTTCCTATATAGCATCAAGCAACTCAACTGCAGTTACATTTTTGGGTTTAGATTTGCAATTGGATGAGCAGTCTGTGGGCATGTCGTGACTTCACACAGAAAGCAGGCCACATGGAAGAAAAATTTCCCGTTCTCTTCATTGCAAGGGCACTTCAACATGCAATCAGAACAAGTGATACTACAAGGAGGGCAGGCAATTGCAAGGCAGAAAGAAGCACCTTGGTTATATTAAAATGTGACCTCTAATCTGGTGCTTGAACCTGCATCTGAAATGGGGATCACAGTAGCACATCCCTAGCTCCTCCTTGCGCACCTTTTCAGACTGTTGTGAAAGTGGTAAGTGTTTTTTTGGGGATCTAACAAATCAGATGGTTGAGGACGGAAGTGTATCAGGTGGATGTGAGCTGTTCAGATTTCCATATAAAATACAGTTTCCTGCTTGGACAACATTTGAGAATTTATGTTAATCCAACTCCGGCACTTCTCAGTCTACTCAGTCAAATTAATGCTTTGGAGTTCACATATGCGTGCTAGAAGGACACATTGAAGAGAAAACACAGCTACCTGGAGGAGTTGTAGTTAACACTAAAAAAAATTTCAGGCAGCAAGAAGGCCCTCATCTTTCAGTGCAAATACATTCTCTAACAAAAAAGAAGGAAAGAAGGGAAAAAAAGAAGTGGAAAACTGTAAGTGCATGCCTTTAAGCAAGCAAGCAATTAAAACAGGGGGGAAACGAAAGAGATAAATGAACAGGTAAAAATTAACAAAAAATCTCCTTGGTTGCAAAACCCAAAGAGTTTGCAGTGGCTTAGTACAAAATGGCTCCTTTTTTTTTTTTTTTTCATAGAGGTGTAAGTGTCCATTGAATTTAACAAGGGAGGGCAGTGCTATAGCTATTATAAAGCAGGATGAAAGGCACATTACCCATGAAGATTTTTCCTCCTTGAAGCCTCTGGCCACTATCAGAGACAAGATTATTGCACCAGATAGGTGGACCACAGCCTAATCCAGTTTAGCGTGTATTTCCCTGTGACACATACAGACGCTGCCACAGAGAGGAGACTAGTATATCCTGCTCCTAGCATGCTGTGTTTGCATTTGCCCTCTCCGATTTGAGAAAGCCATGTCTGACCTGCCAAGTGTGACTAGGAATCTTTCCTGAGCAAGTGATCTTTACTTTCAGGGGGATATATATCTATTGAAGGGCAGGGAGGGGAGTCTCAGACTGTTAGCATGGCTGCAGTAATCACCATTCCCACCACTGCATTACAAATGAAGTTATTCAAAGCTGTGATTTCAGGGAAATTACTCCAGAGATGCTTTTGTTGTTCAGATCTGTGCCAGTAGTCACGGACTTTTCGAAGACTAGTTTTCACTAGAATGAAAACCACCTTCTACAGTCCTACAGTTACTGATAAGATCAACAGAACCCTTGCAGCGGTTTCACTTTGTTGCTTTAGGGAGATGAAAGGAGGGACTGCATTTGAACTAGCCACTCGAGTCACCCCCCAAGAGGACTGTGGCCAGGAAAGGTAGCAGCGAGGGGAGAGCAAGAGAAGAGGCAGGTGTTGCAGCAGATGCACTGCAGGCAGGGGAGAGGTGGTTGTATGGGAGGCTGAGAAGGGACAGGTGGCCACAGAGCCTGCATGAACTTGCACGAGAGAAACCAATAAAATGAGAGTGGCAAACACAAGGTGAAAGAAAGAAGAATGTGATAAGGGTAGCAGTAGTCTGTTTATTTTAATTAAAAAGGATTCAGCTGACATTACACAGGAGATTTCCGGCCCACACGGAGGAAAGGTGATGACATCCCCAGCATTGCAATGGAAGTCTGAGGGGTGGAGACGCCGTGTCTCCCTGTGAGGAGGCACTGAGCATGCCTGGGAGAGGGCAGGGGCCCCTCCAGGAGCCTGGAGTCCCACCTGTACTGGAGGCAGCGTGACACACAGCTGCCCGCCCAGGTCCGGGCTTGTTTCGACCCACTGGCAGTTTATGTTGTTGGCATTTCTGTTGAAGTAACTCTGAAGGATCCCAAACAAGGATAATGCAAGTCTATATCAAATTCTAAAAAGCCTAAGAGATCCACTGTCCCCACTTAAGGAACTTTATCCTTCATATATAGACAATATGCTATAGGGAGAAGGTGGAAAGGGAAACAGGGATGGATTTGATTGTGCTTTGACTAATTAAAGTGAAATTCTGAACACCATCTCCTAGGCTGGTGATTGGTTGTTAGCCATTACCGCATAAAATCCTGGGCTAGTGATGGTCAAATGAGGAAGGACAATTATTTTCCCCATAACTTGTTATTCAAAATGGACTTGTGCAACTCATCATCTCAATGTCCCAGTGTTTCACAGTCTAACTATATTTAATGGGCAAATAAATTCATGTCCAAAAGTCACTTGGGGTTGCACTGTTGATTTTCCTGGTGTTCAGCATATCCCTCTTTCTGGAAAGTTTGAGCACGAGCTCATAGAGACCACTGCATCTTCACTTTGAATAACAGAAGCAGCCTTTTGGGGGGAAAATTAAAGGTGATAGATTTTCTCTTCCTCCTGACTTCCCCTTTCCAAATGAGGCACTACAAGCACAGAGTAAAAAGATCAGCAAAATTCATTTGCACTTAAACAAATTATATGTTGACTGTTGCAAGCCTAAGAAAGGATCACACATACATGATTTTCAGAATGAGACATCAAAACCAAAATGAGATAGCCCTGACCCTGCAAGAAGACCTGTCCTTAGCCTTTATGCCAGCATGACTATGTCATGTGTAATGTCAGGCAAGCTCATCCCTCAGAGGTTCTTCCCTATGTGTGGTGTCCTGTTCCACACTAGTTTGGACAGAGGAGCTATTCACATTCATGTATTTTTTAAACAGCTCTATTAATCAGAGTTATATACATTTCACTTCTCTCTATCCTCTCCTGTTTCCTTTCTTTCTTCTCATGTGCATGTATGTTAAAAAAACTGAATCTTCAAGCCATGATTTTAGCTCTGAGGGCTGGGCGAACTGACTTTCCTGAAGTCTAGAACCAGCCTGGACTGAAAGGTGGACAGAATACTGAATTGAAAGTTGCTGTGTGATTCAGAGGAGGGTTTCAAAGGTCGCAAAAGTATTTAGATGACAATGACATCCATAAAGAAATAATTCAGTGTGGAAAAGGGGGTGTCCATATTTTGTTTTGAGTGAGCTTTCTGTCATCCTGGGGAGTCCTTTAATGCTCAGAACTCAAAAATATTTCTGAATATTACCTGCTTAAAACAAAAGAGAAGGTCAGCAGCTCTCTTCTATGAAATATGCATGTTCTGCAAATGCTCTGCTGGGTTATGAATTCCCTTTTTAAAGCAACAAGGAGTTTATTTCCTTGGTTGCCATCTAGTGGAAACTGCTGTCTGCATTGTGTTATTCATAATAACATTTCCATCTCAGATCTCATTGAGCTGTGCAGATGATTGAACCGTGCAGACGATTGAGCCGTTGAAATAAGGGGCAACTTACAGTGCATGTTTCGTGCTTTGTAAATTATAGCAAGGTCTTGATAGGTCAAGAGATTACATGGTAAGGTGCAGAGTGGCACAGGTGTTTCTGATAAATTTATCTTTCACCTGCATCAGTAAATGGTACTAGCAAGAGGTGAAGTATCAGGATGGAAGGGTTCAGGCCATAATCTGGCCATCTCTCAGGTCATAGATTATTCATGATGGACAGTTACTGTGCAAATGGCCTGGCTCCAGTCAGGCAGAAACCAAACTATAGGTCAATACTAATACATCTAAGGTGTATTTTCTTCACTTGGGACAATTGTATTTCATAGATTAGCCTTGTACTATTTTAGAAGGTTATAACAACTGCATTAAGATGTGTTGCTGAAATAGTGGGGTTGTACTGTGCCATTAATTTTCTCAACCCACAATTTCAGCTGATCTGCACTGTTCCTTGGGGTATTGTGAGTCTCTGTAAGATGTTCTTTGGAAACATTTTGAGATGTTGATCCAGATTCCTGAAAAGTGTCAGAATAATTCATTTTGGAGAGTGTTGATTCATGTGGAGACACCAGAATGCTGGTTAGATTTCAGGTCTGCATTGAGAGTCACATTTGTCTGACCCTTATTCCTGTGTAGCTTTTTCTTACTTCTTCCATGTTTTTAAAAACTTCAGTGGCTTTCCTTCAGGAATTTTATTGGATTACCTACACTCAAAGGGGTGGGTAAGCCCTTGAGAAAGCAGCTAAGTTTCCAACATTGTTCCAGGCTTCCTTATATTAAAGTCCTGCCAGTGCCAAGCATTTTGGCACCAAATTAGTATATCCATGCTGTGTGCTTGTATCCCCTTGCCTCGTGCTCTCTCATCAGCAATTTTTCATTCACTTTCCTTATGTGGCTGCCATCCTGACGTGCTTCATGCAGCCTGATCCAAACATTTGCTGAAGCAGTGCATGTTATTCATGAGCTCATGCTGATGTTGGAAATCAACCGAAAACTCACTATTTGGAAGCCTTGGGACAATATGAGTATCAGCAACCCATACAGAGAACAGCTGGCAATTAGCATCAGTACTTAAGCAAAGTGATTCCCTTTTGCCTTTAAATAAAGATGTGTGCCAAGAATTTCTAGAAGTTTCTCAGATAAGGTGCAAAACTTCGAAGATTTGTGTAACTCTCCTTGTCACCAGGTTGCATTCAGGCAAATTAAATCAAACGTTGGGTCTTGCCCACTAAAAAAGGAAGTTTATCCTCAAGACACATTTTTTTTATTCTTCTTCATTATAGGAAAAAATAGTGCCTAGTAGAAAATCAAAAGTTCTTTAGAGACACCTTTGTTAATGTTTTTCCTTCCTCTTTTTTCTTATTTTTACATAAAGATATGCAGAGCCTTGAAAAGTTGCTGAGGGATGCAATAATATATGGGCAGCCTCGAAGCCGCAGAGCATGGAGGAAAATTATCATCCTAGTGGAGGGCATTTACAGGTATGTTTGTGTTTTAGAAACGTGAGTAATCTTTATCATTTCTGAGAACAGAATGATATATTGAGTGAAGCAAACACTGACTCTAGGTATCTGAGAGAAATCTTAATGAGAGTGGAGGTTACAATAACATTTTGTGATCTCATAAATATGTTGATTTCCATTACATCTGTCTGAGCCCTCATTTAACTTACTCCAGTTAGATCCTGTGCGTTATTCTGAACCTTGATTTAGCAAATCACTGTGGAATGGAAGATGTACTCTGAGAGCAAGATATATATTCAGCTGGTGTATGTTGTCACAAATGTGATAAAATTCATGGAGAAGTTTGTCGAGTAGGTGAGGAGTTTGTCGAAGTGAGTAAGCTGAGTTTTCTAGAGTTCTTTGTTAAGCACAGGCAGATCAAAAGACAACTATGCAGAACTAATTAACTTCTGCATGCCCAGTTCTTACCCAGCTGTTGGAATCTAAAAGCTCAGGCTAGACATAGTCCAAGTGATACCAGCACCTTTCTAGTATTTAGTGCTGAATCTCACACTTTAACAGGAAAAAAAATTAAAATAATGGCTTTTGAAGAATTATATTCTTGTAGCCCCAGTCCCTGGAGGAATGTGAATGAGAGGAATGCCTTTGAGAATCCATCAGATAATGTCAGCATCAATAATACCATGTAACTATAGAACATCCTAGTCAGATAGCTCTGGTTCACTAGTGGGGCACATCTTACACCCAACCAGAAATACAAACCATCACTAGAGTTGAGCAGCAAAGCAGAGGCACCAGTCAGGCTCACTATCCTGGGCTTCGTCCTAGCAACCACTCCAGCCAGGAAAAGGTTACTGGGGAGGCAGCCATGGGCCTGGTGCATGGCATGGAGGAGAAGCCACTGGTGGGCAAGGAGCTGGAGCACAGAGAGGTAGAGATCATGAAGAGGAGGGAAAGGCTGAAGAAGCATAGATCTGGACAGTAAGAGTGTTTGTAGGGATCTAGGCAAGGCTACTGTTGCAATGCGGGGGAGGTGGGGGGGTGGAGTAGGAGGATAGTTTTGAGAGTAGCAACACCTGCATCAGAGAGAAGGGAACCAGAACCACTCATTCGCAGGATATGACATGGTTTATGAAAGCAACATTAAACTTTATATGTAGGGATCATATCATGTGTTGCTGAAATACAGCCAGTCTGGATGGGCAGTTGTTTATGCCATTTTATCGAGAAATTCTAGCACAGTTGGGCTGATCAGCTTTTTTCATAAGGCATCTTTTATGATCTCATGTCATCACAACTTCATAGTTGTCAGTGCTTTCTTTTCACCTAACATTTTCCATGTGCAAAGAGAAAAAATCAGTCCTTATCTAAACACCTGTCACTCAGAGATGAAACAAGTTGGCAGCACATCAACTGATCCAAAGCAGACTGAATGTCTCCTTTCAACCAGAATAAACAGAGCAAAACTGCAAATAAACATAGTTTGGCACTACTAAAAGAAAGCTCAGATTTAAGGACTTTGATCATGCAGAAATTAAGTGGACCACCAAAATTTTACTGACAAATATTTCCACCAGCCACACAGCCTGCAGAAAATGCTCCAGTTGCTAAGCTTTGTTCACTTTTAAATCCTTTACCCTGGATATTGGCCACTAGGGAGCAAAAAGGTAGGCTGGTGACAGACAATGATAGATCAGTGCGAGCAGTGGGACAAACCCATTGTCAGATATTAGCAACTGTAATAACTATAATTATATTTTCAGATGTATATTTGATATAGAGTTTTCTTTTCCTCTAGTTTTGCAGTTCATTTTCAAAGGAAATTTCATTCTCAAAATTTCAAAGGACCTTCTGTCAGAATGAAAAATAAAAACATGTTAAACCTCAGAGAACTTCACTAAAAAGGAACCATAAAGTTCCTTCAGCCCCATAACAGCTGAATAATGTTAAGATCACTCATGGCCTGAGTGTCCCTGTTTGTGAAACGGATAAGCAAAAATAAAAAAAGCTTAGCTCTCTAATAGTCTCTCATTGGAAGCTAGCCCTAGCAGTAGCTAGGTAGGTTGTTTAGTTGTTTTCATAGTCAAAGCAGATCAGAAATTGAAGATTGTGGTTTGGTTGCAACACAAGCCTGCTCTGACTTGAGGGAGAATACCACCACACCCCACCACATTGTACCCCTGCCATCACTGCCAACCCGAGATGCACGCAGCTGATCTGTCCTCACAGCTATGCTAGGTACAGACTCACAGGCCATGTAGACTAATCCAGTAAGTAGCTAATAACAGAATCACAGAATCACAGAATGGTAGGGGATGGAAGGGACTTCTGTGGGTCATCTAGTCCAACCCTCCTGCCGAAGCAGGGTCACCTACAGCGGGCTGCACAGGACTGCGTCCAGGCGGGTCTGGAATATCTCCAGAGAAGGAGACTCCACAACCTCCCTGGGCAGCCTGTTCCAGGGCTCCGTCACCCTCAGACATGTTCAGACGGAACTTCCTGTGCTTCAGTTTGTGCCCATTGCCCCTTGCCCTGTCGCTGGGCACCACTGAAAAGAGTTTGGCCCCATCCTCCTGACACCCGCCCTTGAGATATTTGTAAGCATATATTAGGTCCCCTCGCAGCCTTCTCTTCTTCAGGCTGAACAAGCCCAGCTCCCTCAGCCTCTCCTCGTAGGAGAGATGCTCCAGTCCCCTCATCATCCTTGT